CCCCTCATGTCCAGGGTGAGCCAGTTACCTAGGGCGAGTGGCTCTCATGGAATAGAGCTTCACTATTTGATAAAAACAGATTTGAAATTTAAAAATTGACTCCTAAATTATTGTTATCAAATTTTCTCTTGGCCTAGTATCATTTTCATGCTTTGATCTTGGTTTTGAAATTCGTGTTGGCAGAAAAAAAAAATAGCACAGCAATATGATCTCTGGTTTAGCATGACAGTCCCATTGTTGATACAGGACAGGATGGGTTGTCTATAAGGCATATCAATGAGGACTGGATTCCGCTTCATAACACAGAAAAAATGATGTAACACTGGCTTAAATTAAATGGATTTTCCCTCTCCATACAAAAATCCAAAATTAGCCATTCAGGTTTTACATATCAACTTCATGGTATCAGGGTCCTGTCCACCCTTAGGATGTGGTTCAACCTCATGATTCATTATGGCTGCTTGAGCTCCTACCATCAATGTCCACCTTCCACACAGCAAAATAAAGAAAGGGGAAGAAGAAAAACTCAACTGTCCTTTTAAAAAGTATCCCCCAAAGTGACACAAATAGTTCACTTTCATTTCAATGGAGAGAGATGTTAGTTTCATGGCCATAATTTATGTAAAGGGAGGCAGGAAAATACAGTCTTTTATCTAGGTGGCAAAGGAACCAGCTACAAATGAAGGTTGTGTAACTAAAGAGGAATATGGAGTGGTTATTGGAAGATAAGTGATAGAGCCTTCCACACACATTAACAGCCATGTCTTCAAGACTTGCTCACACACTCTACCACAGAGCCTTGGACTCAATTAGGAAGAATGAATATTATCTATTCATTCTCTTCTCTTTCTAATTAAAAAATATTATATACAAATTATCTCAGAACTAGGGATAAAAAATACTTACAGGGGTCTAAGATGGGACATAAAGCAAAGCAAATTTTTTTCTTTCCTGTTCAGATCCACAGACAACAATTCCATAAGCATCTCCTTTTTAAATATTTTGCATATTCATCCAGAAATATTTTAACCCATGCAGGTGTACCCTACACACTTTACTGACCTTTATTTTTGTTTGAGTAACTTTAGTGATATGTGTTCTTTAAAAGTTGGCTAGAACTCAACTATGAAACTTTTGCTCTAATACATCTTTTTTCCTATGCATATCTTTAATCATCTTTCCAATTTCTTGATCATTGGTCTCTTCAAATTTTCTACTTCTTATTGAACATTATTTTGATAATTTCCCCTAGATTTATAAATGCATTATGGAGTCTCATGGAACAAATGCTTAAAATTACTTTAATCTTTTCATCCTTAATATTGCATAACTTTGCTCTCTGTCATTTATCAAGTTAGCAGGTTAAACAGAACAATTTACTTATTTTTGTAGTTATCATTAAATAACTTTTTTATCCTATCCATATTCTTTTTTTACCTTGTTTTTGTTAGAACATATCTGAGAAATTTTTCTATACTGATATATGCAAATCTAACTCATTCTTTTAAATGGACATGTTATTTCATCTGAAAGCTATGATAAAATCTTTTAAATTAGTCTCTAATTAGTAACGGTAGAGCAAGCTAGAAAGCTGTTTATCAAATGTGCTTATTTTCCCTCTGAGCAGACAACTAAGTTTCATTTCTAGATTCCCTTGTAAATGGATACAGCCACGTGACTGATACCTGGCTGACGGCTTGTAGGCAGAATTCACATGAGCCTCTTCCTCACTTAGTGAATAACCTGTGTTACCACATTTTCCTCTCATTTTTTGGACAGCATACAAGTCCAATATTAATGATGGCTGAGCCATGCAATGGAATAAGGCCACATCCCCAAATTTCTCTTTGGAAGATGTGTGCCCTGCAAACTAAAAACACCTATCTTGACTGCATATGAGTGAGAAATGAACTTCTATTGCAACTAGTTATTGTGACCAATGGACTGATTTAGTGTATCTATTAAAGATAGCATCCCTATAACTAATTCATAAGCAGAATGTACATTCTTTGATGCATGACTCTGAACTTATAAAAATTAACTGGTAGACTCAATTTGTTGATCCAAATGTATTCAGTTTTAAAGATTTTATATTGCCTCCCTAAGAACCTGAATCAATTTATACATTGACAAACAACATATGAAACAATTCTAATCAAAATGTTGCACTGTCATACTACCTGATCTTGCAACCTGGTTGTGAAGAGTGGTAGTAAAAGTTGTTAGGTGAGGCTGAGCATCTTCTTTATGCTCATGACTTTTATAAGTTATTTACATTTCTTTTGATAAGTGAACTGCCCTTTTATGCCATTTTTCAGTTTTGCTCTTGAGTTTTTGGTCATTTTCTCAGTGACTTGTAAGGGATTGTGTACATCAAGATTTTAAAATATCTTAATGTTCACACATCCTTAAAAATTAACCCCTTTTTCTTCATGTGCTGCAAACAGCCATCTCTAATATTTTGCTCACCTTTTGACTTAGATTATAGCTTTGCCACAAAGAAATTCTTTCAGATTATTATCTAGTCAAATTAATATTTTTCTTTCAAAAAATTTGGGTTATGCCTTCATATAAAGGCCTTGCCCATTTTCTAATGATACTTACTTGCGTGATTGTCATATTTAGATTCAAAAGGTTCATGCATCGAAATGATGTTTAGGTAAATGTGAGCTAGAGAGTATGGCTTAATCTTTTTTTTTTAACCAAATGGCTAATTAGTTGCCAAACAGCCCTTATTAAATATTCTCCATTGACTTGAAATGCTTCATCATCTACATGTCTCCACATATATGTACTCTATTGGTAGACTCTCTATTGCATGTAATTGAACAACTGTCTCTCTACTGGGCCAGAACAAAGCATTTAAATTTGCACATCATTTTAACCCACTCAAATATTTGTTAGGCTTAGATTCTCTCCATTCCCATTATGTTGCCTTGTATTACACATTCTCATTTTTCCACCTACTTCAAAAAAAAATCAATTATTATTTTAATTGTGCTCATATTAAGCTTATAGATTATTAAATTTACATACTAATAGAGAACTGAGAGCTTCATATTATGCAGTTTTTAAAGAAAACTTTATATAAGAAAAAATTATTTATAATGCATCAGTTCCCTTAAAATTCTGCTTCTAATATTTTTAAATAGATTTTCACTTTTTCTAAGCATACAATCATTTCATATACAAATAATGACAATTTAATCTTCTTTCCAATGTTTGAAAGTATTTCTCCTTCCTTACAAGTGTCATTTACTATGGCTTTCTAGAACAAAGTTAAGTAATGGTGAAATTTTCCTTTTGCCTGAAATTAGATGATTTCTTTTTGTGTGGATTCAAATGGTGCAATACTATATCTGGAACATATTCTTCAGAGGTGCCCGTTCCTTGGGTGTAGGGCTAATGATGTATTCTTTGTATTTCCTTTTATCCTTTTGTCATTTTTGGTTTTCCATTTGATAGGTTTTGGGTAGGAAAAAAACACGTAAACATGCATTTATTCTTCACACTTCCTAAAGTCCAAATCTGTAAATCTGCTTTTGTAAATCTGCTTGAAGCATTTTATTATTCCTGACATCTTTTACAAGAAATAATTGGATAGTTCACAGATTGTTTAGGGACCTCAAACAGGAAACACATTCGTGTTTTAGGCTGAAATCACCCATGTAATTATATTTATGTCAGTCTGCAAGCAGAGAGTTTCTTAGTTATTATTATTGATGACTTCTACTGAGGATTTCCTGAGAAGCCCACGTATATTCTAAATCAATGGCACTGTCTCCACTTAGCACCAAAATGCCATGAGTGAACCCAAATCAGGGAGCCCAGGTAGAGGCTGGCGTCATGGCTCATTAATCTCGTTCAGGGGAAGTCAACCTGCACAGCAACAAGACTAAGAGGCAGTGCTTTGAGGGGTCTCAGGCACCTGCTTTCTCATTGTGAAAGAGGAAAAGAAAAGAGTTCATAGACCCTGGGAGCTTTCTGCCTCTCAATGGAAAGAAGACTGGAAGCATTTGGTTCCTCGTACTAGGAGATGCCAAGATTCCTGGCCCATGACCTCTATTTGCTTGAGAAGAGCAATACAAAGTCCCATGTGGAATATGGGGCCGTCTGAATCTTGAGGGCTCCTGTGATAGAAAGCTAAGTTAGGGCCTAAACACCAGGAATGATCAAGTGCCCAGTAAGTCAAGACCTTGTGCTAGATGAACTGTGAGGAGTTTAAAGGGAAAAAGCACAGTTTATTTCCTCACTGGCCTTCCAGCTCAGTTGTTGAAAAAGAAGACAACTTTTTTCAACCCCTATGTTCCTGGTAAGTATTCCTGAAGAGATTCCAGACTAGTGACAAGCACATAGACATGAAGAAGACGTAAGCGTATGAATGTGAGCAAGACACACAGTAAGCAAGGTGCATATTAGGATCAAGAAGGGGAGATGGACGCTGACAAAGCAGTGTAACAGGTACTGGGGTTGCAGTAATGAAGGGACGGTGTGCACACATACAAGCCACATAACTCGGTTTCTCTGAACTAAATGCTTTACCAAGAGAGGTGGCATATGGATGTCTTAATGGATGTATAAAAGTTAGGCACAGAAGGGTCACGGATTTTCTAGGTAGAGGGAACATGAGCAAAGTAATAAAAGGTGACACATATTATGAGCTACCTGCATGCTAGCAACTAGCTTAAGCATTTTAATATATATTAATTCATTTTAGCCACAAAGTGATTTGAAATCAACCACAAGAAGTTCATCATGTAAGGAATATAGTCAAAATATTGTAACAACTTGGTATGGTGATAGCTGGTACCTAGAATTATCATGTATATAAATGTTGAATGACTATGTTGTACACCTGAAACTAATGTAATATTGTGTGTCAACTACCCTTCAATAAAAAATACTTATCTAAAAAAAATAATAATAAAAAAAATAATAAAATAAAATCTTTAAGAAAAAAAAAGTTCATCATGGTCACTGTGAGAAATGGAGGGGTGAAAGCAGGAGATGAAGCAAAGAGGGATGTAGGATTCAGATCATGGAAGCTTATCCAAATATTTGGGCTCATGTGTCTGACAGTAACAAATAATACTGAAGAATATGCATTGATGGTCAATAAAGTACTCTAATAATGCAGATGTTTACTGATAACTTTTATTTGGAAAATGGGAGAGATAATTGTCTTTCCCCTATCTATTCAATGAGGTTATTTGGAGGATCAAAATGAGTATATAACCATTAAAGCGCTCATGAACTACCAGGTCCTATGCAAAGGTTGATTCTTATGATTTGTAGAGGACATTAAAGGGCAAGAGGAACTCATTTCTCCAGTATACAATAGTAGGCTGTTTGCAGGGAGAATGACCTAGGGTCCAGATGACCTGAGAAGTAGCTCTTATTCCAAAATGTTTGGCTATAGCCTGGACTCCCTGTTTGAAGGGAAAGAAAAGTTTTAGGACCTGGTCTCTGGAAACAGTATGAAAGGATGTCTATAGCTCAACTTGACTTTTTCTTTTAAATATAAATGCAGAGTAGGAAAGCACAAATCCCTTTCAACTTGGAGATTAAAATCAGCACTCAAAGGAAGGGTTGCCAGCATGCATTTACAAGGCTCCCAGATATAACTCTGTTAATCAATTAAGAAAATGGATTATCATGCCTCATACTGGTTTGCAATGTGTAGGTTACAGAGTCCTTCTCCAGACATTATCCCTCTGGTCATTGGTGGAACTAACTTCTACTGTGGGTCTATAATGTGTGAAGTATTGTACATAAATGATCTATATCCAAGCAACAGCCCTGTCAACAAGGTCACATCCTCCAAAGAAAGCAGAGCTGGGATGCAGAGCCATGTCTGTCTAACTGCAAAATCTATTTTCTTTCTACAAAACCACATTGTTTTGCACACTTTCAAAGAATGTGCCTCCAAAATGTGAGTTGCTTTCTAGGTACGATTTTTGGATAAACCTATCAAGTGTCCTAGGTCTCAGATTCTCATGTTTATAATGATAGGATTGGACACAATTACTTTGAATAAGCGTTTTCCCTCCAGCAATCTATGAGCCGTTGGTACAAATGATGTACATCAATAAAGAGTTATACAACTTTGCTCTCCATGGCTCTCCCCAGCCCAGCAAGGTGACAGATGTCACAGCCAGGTCTCCCTGAAACTCAGCTGAGGTCTTCCATATGTCCTCACCCACAGGGGACAGGAGAAAAACAAGCACAATCTAAGGAAACTTCAGCACATTAACTCTGCACCTGATTGGGAAATGTACAAATTTTTAGATTCCTTTCAAATGAGACTGAGTGGCTGATAGCCAGAAAACTAAAATATTAAGCAGACCTGTAAAAAGAGCAAAAATATTTGAAAATAAGAACCAGGAACAGCATCTGAAAAAAAAAAGATAAAGACACACATATAAACTCTTTTGCACAGATAGGGATCTCATATAGAAAATCTAAGAATTGCTGGTTTTTGCTTAACACTCCCCCTCTTCTGAAAAGTTCAAAAGGCCAGACCATCATGTTGGACTTCAAATGCAATTTCAGTGAATTCTAATAAAGAAAGGATGTACTGACCTGGAATTCACTCCTCTCAGGGGCATTACTATCCAGAGGAAAGGCTTTCAGCTGGAATATTCTGGATGCACTATAAACTATAGCAATATGCACCCTCACTGTGCTCAGGAAGGGAAGCCCTTAAAGCAAAGACTTCTCAGAAAGGTGGTTTCTTTCCCTCACATTCTCTAGCCATTTTTTCCCCAGAGTCAAATGATACAAAGAGCTCTTCTGTGTAATTACCCACTGAATTCAGTGACCACTGAAAGGGGGAAAACACTTATTTCAGCATATACTGAGGGAGAAATGTCTTGATGCTTTATTATTATACGTCTCATAGAGTTTTAGTCTTTCAACATGCTGTAATTGAGGGTAGCAGTTATAGGACAAGTGGAGACCTTACATTTTAAAGGTGCAGTTATGGCATAAGGGAAACACTAACTGAGTACCTGTCATATGTCACACATCTCATAAGGTGTTTTCTTAAATCATCACACAATGTCATGAGACAGGTACTATGCTCATGCTCATAGATGAAGAAACCACGACTCAGAGAATTTGATGCGACTAATTCTATTTCTAAACAACTTTAATGGGCTCACCATCCTTACTATTGAGTCCTGGATTAATGTTCTTTGAAACTCTCACTCAAGCCTCCATAACTCATGCTTTGGCAAAACTGGACTTACTAGCGACCCCTGCATTGGTGCGCCTCCCTCACGCCCTCATGACCTTTGTACACGTTCTGACCTTTGGTTGGAAAAGCCCTCGGATATCTCCACAGCCCCTCTCAATCCCTCTGGTGAATCTTTGCTGACTCCCCCCCAGAAAAAAGTATACTCTTCCTCACCTGTGCTCTCATGTCGTGGATTCATTACACGAGGTACCACATGACATTGCAATGATCTGTCTTTGTGTCCATAATCCACTGAAAATTAAGCCCTCCTTGAAAGGCAGGACTGTTGTGTTTTGATTTCCAGCAGCATGAAGCGAGCACTCGTTGGCACTTTGTGACTGGGAAGGTGGGATGTGGGGAGGACCAAAAAGAGGCGATGAGAGAGAATCAGGAGGAGAGAAAGTGAGGGGGAGAGAAGCAGAGACAAAGGAGGAACAGAGAGAAGGAAGAAGGAAAAGAGAACAAAGGCAGGAGGGAGGGAAGAAAACAGAGGAGGGAGGAAGGAAGGAAGTTATGTCAATTATCTATTAAAGCATGAGAAATTATCCCGAACTAAAACAAGAAGTATTTCTTTTCTCACAGTCTTTGGGTGAGGCACTCAGAAGTACCTTGACTCGGCAGCCCTGGCTCAGAGCCTCTCAAGGGGTTACAGCCGAAGGGTCTGCTGGGAGTGGGGTCATGCGAAGGCTCGGCTGTGGCCGGAGGGCCCATTCAGGTGGCTCATTCACGTTGCTGGCAAGCAGGGGCCGACAACCAGCAGGAGATGCAGTTCTTCACCTATGGACCTCTCAAAAGGGAAACTTGAGATCCTCATTGTATAGCTGGTGACGTCCCCGCAAAGCATGTAATCCAAGTAAAAGAATAAGGAGGAAGCCCCAAAGCCTTTTATGACCTGGCATGAGAAGTCACATACCATCATTTCTGTAAAATCCTATTGGTTTTTACGTAAGGGCAGGAGGCAGGGATCGCTGTGGGATATCTGGGAGAAATGATTAATTTAAACAGATCTCAATGACAGTCTGTGATCATCCCAAAACACGACAAGATCAATACAATCCTATACTTTTATTCTTTTGAAAACAGCAGGACATGCAGATATTAGAAGGGGATTGTGGTTTGTGGACGTAAGCATCACATAAAGAAATGGGTACATGAATGCTCAGCCTGTTTTAATACTCCAAATAAACTGGGGTTTGTTCATCTGATCTATTTCTGCTTCCCACAGCATCTTTTAGACTCTCTCTGTGGATGAAATATCTTTCAGTACCACTACAAAAAAAATGGTATGGTGAAAAATAAATATGCACATTCTTTGAAGCAGGCAATGCCCAGCTCGAGTCTGACTCAAGGACCCGTTGACTGGGTGGTCAAGCCAAATTTCCTGAGTTTACCTCAGCCTCAGTCCTTTTCAAACTGGTTCTAATACTACTCATAGGGTAGTTTTGAGATTGTGTATCACAGCACCTGCAAAATGTCTCAGACAATTCCTAAAGCACGGGAGAAACTATTTATTTTGCTATTTCCCTTAGTTCTGCTGAAAAATGGAAAAAAGAAATCCATACAGTTAGAGGTATTGTCAACCACAGTGACAAACATGTAGATATTTGAGAATATCTGAGTAATAACTGCAGTTTTCTACTCTTTGTCTTGGTGATTTGGAATTTTGCGGAGACAATTACATTTAATAATACCAAATCAGAAAGGACAGATATA